CCTACCTTCTTAGGGGGGAGAAAAGCTTGTAACAAATATGCAAACTCAAGGAAAACAAATTGCCACGTGGGCCATGTCCAAAAAGTGTATCTCTCAACCTGCATCCTGAGTCTATCACCACCTCTCTGTTAGGAGGTGCCACCATGCTTTTGCACCCCACGCCATGCCCAGAATGCTTTCCCACCCAGAGAGACGCCTTCACTGTAGCATAGTAGACCTTGAGTCAGGAAGAATTGGGTATGAATTCTACCTCAGACTCTTAGTATTAACTCTGTGGCTCTTGGTAAGTAAGCCCTTTAACCTGTCTCACACTGGCGGTTTCTTCACTTATAAAATGGAGCTAATAATAGAACTTAACCCCGAGATAGTAAGGATCAGATGAGAGAAGATTTTTGTAAAGTACTCTGCATCCCTTGAAGGGATAGAGACTTGTTAGGTACTGGACCTAAGACTTCATTCCAGTGCAGATCTGTCACTTGATAAATACTTATTAAACTCCTACTATGTGCCTGTCACCGCTGGAGCTCTGGGATGCAAAAAGAGACAAAAGACAAACCTGCCCTCAAGGAGCTTCCAATCTAATGGAGAGATAACATGCAAACAAATGTGTGCAAACAAGCTATATTGTATACAAGATAAACAGGAACTAATTAACAGAGGGAAGGCACTGGAATTAAGGGGTTAGGAAAGGCTTCCTGTAACTCTGCAGTTTATAGTTTTAGAGAATGGACTGGGGCACTGAGAGGGAGGAGTGACTTGCTCAAGGTCACTCAGCCAGTATGTGTCAGAAGTCAGACTTGAATCTGTCTTCCTAGCTTGAAGGTCCTGCCCTCTAATACACTCTCTTGCTCTGCAAACCTCAAAATGGTCTCTAAATAGGAGCTGTTAGCATCCTCATTATCATCACTAATATTCATCTCTGTCTCTCATATCCTGGAATCCTTTCAAGTCTCAGCTTAGATGCCACCTTTTCCATGGAGCTTTATCTTTCCTGGAAGCTCCCTGAGGTTGGGGACTACATCATTGTAGTCTTTGTACCCCCCTGTCTAGTTAGTGCCTAGCACATAGTAGGTGCTTAATGTTTCCTTGTTGACTTAATTCCCTGCAAGCACACACACACACACACAGAGAGAGAGAGAGAGAGAGAGAGAGAGAGAGAGAGAGAGTTCCGACTATATCTATGCTTCAATTATGTAGTGGATAGATAACTGACCTTGGAGTCAGTAAGACCTGGGTTCAAGTTCCCCCTCCAATACATCCTGTAACCTTGGGCATGTTACTTAATTTCTTAATGCTCTCTAAGACTGTTTAATTGCAGATCTGCATTGGTGGAGGGAGTTTTTCCCCTTAGAGTTCCCCACATCAATGTAATCCTAGCTCTGGTCCAAACCTCCCAGTTATGCAAAACAAACTTATCTGTGCACATGCTCTGTCCCTCAGTAAAATGTCATGTCCTTCAGGGCAGGGCTTTCATATTTCTGTTGCCATTCTCAGAGTAAGTACTTTTAAGTTTTGTTGACTTGACTTCATGATCTCAGGGGTCCTTGAGGTCCTCGGTGACCCAATCCTCGATGCCACACAAATGAGGTGGGGAGGGGGCATAGTCAGAGCGGAGAATTTGATCTGGTGCCATGAGAGGATTGGTTGAAAGAATTGGACATTTTTAACCTACAGAAGAAAGTCTTGAAGGAAGACAATTGCTATCTTCAAATATTTGCGAATATTCCCCTTGGAACGAAGGATTTAGGGATGCTTTTGTTTGACCCCAGAGAATTAGTAGGTGAAAGATGAAGAAAGATGGATTTTGACTCAATTTTTGACTCAACCTTTTTGACAATTAGAGCCATCAAAAATGAGCATGGAATGAATCACCTTGGGAGGTGGTCCCGATCACTATGGGATGGGATGATTTCTCAGGACACAGATTGGACTCAGTTACATTTAGTTGAGATCAAGTGAATTGAAGAGTTCTGTAGTTTTCTCTTGATCAACTCAATGCTTTGGGCTTAAAATAGCTGAATTTCCCCCAAACGTTTGCAAAGCTGGAGGCAGAATTCCTACACAGTAAGGCTTAGATGGACCTTGCCAGTATCCACTGAAATCTGGTCCTGTTTGGAAGCTGGATCCGGAGCCCAGAGACAGCTGAGCATGAGCCTGGCCGGGTCCCTAGGGGGTCATCCTCAGGTTGGCTGCAGAAGGATTGGTTTTTGGCTTTGTTTTGTTGTGGTCACGGCAGCAGCTCTTAGAAACAGTCTGTTTGAGCCAGCCTGGTACTGTGGATAGAGCAATGGACTTGAATTTGTGAGAGATGTGGGTTCAAATTGTACAATCAACTTTGCAACCCTGGGCCAGTCTCTTTGGGTTTCTGAGCCTTAGTTTTCTCCTCTTTAAAATAAGGAGGATAATCCTTTTAGGGTCTCTTTCACAATGTTGTTCTGAGGACAGAATGAGGTAATATGAACCCTAAAGCTCAGGATAATTGTCGACTTTTTCTCATTCATGATCGTAATTTGCATGGGGGGGGGGAGTACTCATCCCAAGGAAGGTGGGGATAGTTATCACCACCAAGCCACATGGTGTAGGAGTCAGGATGACCTGGGTTCAAATCTGGCCTCAGACCCTTACCAGCCCTGTGACCTTGGGCAAGTCATTTAACCTCTGCCTACCTACATCAGTTTAGTTACCTCTAAAGTGGGGACAATAATGGGCTTTATCTCACAAGGTGGTTATGAGGGAAATAAAGTGAGGGAAACAAAGAAAGGGTTTGGGGAAACTTGAACTACTATTATTAATGCTGGGTGTTGATAGCAGAGGCAGCAGCAACGGTAGTAGAAGAGTGGTGGTAGTAGTGGTGGTAATACTAGTTAGAAGTAGTATTTTATTCTTTTGATCTTTTTGATGGAATTCAGATAGGGTGGTAGTAGAAATCACTATCTTGCTATTATTAACTGTTCCTTTATATTCAGTGTTCTAGAGACTATTAGGGGCAGGGAAGAAAATGAGACTTACTCTATGTCAAACACTGTGCTAAGTGCTGGGGTCCCTATTCTCAAGGAGCTAACCCTCTAATCGGGAAACAACACATATAAGACAGGCTTAGAAAGTCCCAAGGGAGTAGTAACAGCTGGGAGAGAGAGAGAGAGAGAGAGAGAGAGAGAGAGAGAGAGAGAGAGAAACAGAGACAGAGAGAGACAGAGAGACAGAGACAGAGAGAGAGAGTGTGTGCGTCTTGGTTAAGTGGTTTAGATAGTTGCACCATTTGACTCATGAAGCACACAGGATGCTTCAGGCACCGTACTAAGTTCTAGTGATACAAAAAAAGGCAAAAACACAGTCCTTGCTCTCAGTGAGCTCATATTCTAATAGAGAAGTAGCGTGTCAGTGTGCTGGGAGGGACCGCAGAGGCCTTTGGGTCTGGCCCCATCATTTGACAGATGATGAAGATGAGGCTGAGAGATGATAAGGCCCGGCAGCAATCATCTTCAGTAATCAAGGCCTCTAGGGCTGGGGTTCTTTTTCCTGGAACATCTCTCTCTCTCTCTCTCTCTCTCTCTCTCTCTCTCTCTCTCTCT